GAGCTTTTGCCCTACTTCTCCTTTAAGATTCTAAGTGGTACTCATGTTTTTTCTTTATAGTAGCCTTCTCTATGTTGATCGTTAAAAACGAACTATAGCATCCAGAATATCACTATTGGATTTCCAGTTTGCTAGCTTCTATTTCCTTTATATGACAGGGTTCTCGAGTCTGTCAGATGTTTAGCACAGAGGTCAGTTCTCTAAAAGTTGTATTTGTAAGGTCCTGGGAAAATCCAGCTGGGTTCAGATGTGGTTCTAAACAACAGATATAAAAATTTAACACAACCACGGCAATCCTAAAGCCTGTTTATCTTATTCTACAAACAGCTGTTAATTAGTTTGTTTGGCCAACCTCTCAAACCATGTTTTACTTCCAGAAATAGCTAAACATTTTACGCCAGATCTATTTTGGTGGTTACGTCTGACTGATAAATCAAACTCTTTAATCTCCTGTTATAAAAATGAACATGTAAAAATAGCATGCATTTGAGGAAGTGGCATGGAGCCACAGAGTGTGCTAGGAGCAGTTCACACAAATATGTTGGATGTTAGCTTTATCACTCCGATAGCACAAACTTCCTTCTTCCACGCTTTTATCAAATTGAAATGTAATGAGGTTTGTGGAAAAATTAGAATTTCTCTTAATAATGACATATCCTCGTGAGGTTACTTTGTAAGATTCCTATTAATAGAATAAAACGCTACAGCTGACTGATGCATAAATAATAAAGGATCCTGACAGTAGTTTGTTTAAGAGAACCTATATTGTGGATGCTGTGTCGAAAAAAGCGAGCAGTAGAAAAAAAAAGGACTAGTCACCAGTATTGCCTGTTCTCTCTCAGCAGTCCTTTTTTTCAATTTTCTGCACTGTCTCTGTTGAGGCTGCCATCTTGGTAGAGGCAGGCATTTTCTCTTTTGTCAGAGCTGCCGCCTTGGTGATTGGTGACTGGTGGTCAGATGAGCAGTTAGGTAATGATCAAAAAGCAGCGGGAAAGTAGAGATTTACATAAAAAAGAGGCAGCAGGGAGAACCCTGCAATGCAGGCCTCATATTTCTCTCCAGCAATCAATACAGTGGGGGCACGATCAATCTCACTTTAAATCTCCTGAGTTTAGCAGCCAGAGGAAACAGTGCATTTGTTCTTACACTGCAGATATACAACTTTGAGGCTCATTGCACTAGAGTGCCTTGGTACAATAAAATGCCAGGAAATGCAATGCTACTTTTGAGGAAGAGTTCAGGGCAAAACATAACTTTTTCAGGTTCTGCTTAGGCATTATTAAAGAGGTTTGTATAGTGGTTTTAAAGGTTCCTTTTTTTTCTTTAAAATAATAAACATGTCTTTCTTACCTGCTCTGTGTAATGGTTTTGCACAGATTAGCCCCGATCCTCCTTTCCTTGGGTTCCCAGCTGGTGCTCCTGGCCCCTCCTCCCTGCTGAGTGCCCCTAGAGTAAGCTGCTTGCTCTGGGGGCACTCGTGTGTTCGCTCTTGAGCTTCCTCTGTGTGTCCTCCGCACTGATTGTGATTGACAGCAGCAGGAGCCAGTGTGTTCCACTGCTGTGTCTCAGCCAGGAGGCATGGACCTGGGAGAGCCTCGGCTCTTGTGCACAACGCTGGATCAGGATTCGGTTCAGGTAAGTATTATTGGGGCTGTGGGGGAGCTGCACACTGAGGGTTTTTTTACCTTCATGCATAGAAAAAAAACCTTCAGCCATCATTTAAAAAAAAATTAAAATCAGCAGCTACAAATACTGTAGCAGCTGACTTTTATTAAAAGGATACTTGCCTATCAAGGGATAAAGCTCTGTCCTCACCTGGGTTGGTCTTTGGGTCCCCAATGCTGGCTGCTGTGGGAAGCCAGCTGTGACTCCTTGTGGCTTCACAGCCAGCTCCCCAGTGGGCATGCGTGAGTTGCACTGTGCTTTCTGAATGAACCCACAGCCTTTTGGGACCTGTGAGGACTTCCGGTGATTCCAATGGAATTGGGAGCAGGTACCTGTTAAAACTAGGTACCCGCAACCCCAAAAAAAATAATGTTCCAAAAGTGGAAGAGAAGGTGGGAAGAAGGACATAAAGCGGGTCTTCCCTTTTTAGGAGAAATTTAACATTTCTTCATGTTCCCAATAGCAAATCTTCACTTTATTGATTTGATTCCACTGTAAAGCTAACTATAAGCAAACATCTACATATACATATGTAAACTGTCTTACCTGTTGAAAGGTTTATAATTCCAGCCATTTTTGTATTCGAGTTAAAGTGGAACTATAGGCCAAACTTTTTTTTTTTGGATAGAGCAAGGGAAGGTTATAAACCCCTGCCAGATTTTTTTTTTTTTGCCATCCGTGTCCCATGGTGGAGATTTTATGTCCCATAGCCAAACAGGAAGTGAGAGGAAATTTCTTCAAATTAAGGGAATTCCTTGGGGACCCCCAGGTCACCAGAACTAGTATCCCCATTGGAAGATTTCCCCTCTATTACTTTTTTGGGGACAACCCACAATTATTTTACTTTGACTTTCAATGATAATGGTAAACAGGACAAATAGAGAATCTTCTTAACAGGGGCACAGAGAGCTATACAAATCGACAGATGTTCTAATCCATCTCCACTCTATCCAAAACTAAAAAAAAGTTTTGCCTTTAGTTATACTTTAAGAAATATGGTGGTGTCACCACCCCCCTGTAGCCTGCTGATTGGACAAAAATGGAGCCAGGGTCATGCCACTAATGAAGCTGATTGAGGCTGCCACCTCAGGCAGCACTTATGGAGGCACAGTGAGATTTACTAAAATTGCTGCACTCAGAATCTGGTGCAGCTGTGCATGGTAGCCAATCAGCATCTAACTTCAGCTTGTTCAATTAAGCTTTGACAGTAAAACCTGGAAGCTGATTGGTTTCGATGCAGAGCTGCACTAGATTTTGCATGCTCCAGTTTTAGTAAATAACACCCACAGTTTTACTGAGCTCCCTGCCCAACCAGTATCCCTAGTCACAGGGCAGGCTCACAATCCCTGAGCACAGCTCTTCTGGCTGCTCAGTGTTAATGAGTTGACTGCCTGTGTGTTTGTGCTACTGCCACCCAAATGTGGCCAACTTTGAAAATAGGGAACATGACAAAAAATGTCCATGTTTGATGCACAGCCCTGGATGGAGCCACAATATTCTGGTAATCATGAGCCCTGCTTACTTTATAATTTCTTTGTTCAGTGCATGTAGAAGAGCCTGGCTGGCTTTTACTACTATCTCCCTTTTTTAGTGCTGCTGTGCAAGGATTGACAGATTTTTGCACTTATGCTAGATGTGTGAGAAAATATTTTTAAAGGATTACACAGCTGCATAAAAATTTTTTCCTACATTTTCCTGGAGTTCAGACACAAGATTGGTACTCACATAATCAGTTTGCTTATCCATTAGACTCAAATGATTAAGGCCTCAGGCACAGACATTTTTAACTCCCCTAGAAGCCTTCACCTGGAAGCAGCGTTTTAGCCAAAAAAAAGGTCTGAAGCTTGTAAAAGTGTGTAATGCGTTTACACGTGTTTACCCACCTCAAGCTTTTGGGCGTTAATTTCATTGCCCAGAATAAATAATTTATTCTGGACATTGAAATAAATAATGCTGATGCTCTAAACGTTTAGCATTTAGGTGCGTTTAATTGCATTTACACTCTTTTAAGTGTGCCAAGCATATTTTTCTGCCAAAATGCCGCTGTTGTAGGACATACTGGCAGTGGATTTTCTCCCTGCCACTAAACTCTCCTGCCACAAAATGCCGATAAAAGCCTATTTGTGCATGGACACACAGGATAACATGCAGGGAGTTTAGAGGCAGTAAAAAAAGAAAACGCACATCTGACACCCCTAGACGTAGCTTCACAAATGCCCAGTGTGCTTGAGCCCTGACAATTTAGATGAATCGGCATAGTTTTGAACCAGGTTTTTTTTGTGTAGCTCTTCTAGTTGTGTGACCATTTATATTGAGGATATCTTGCCAATGGATTATCCACATGAAGGAAATCAATGTAATATAGTATTTCCAGCAACCACACAAAAATAATATATATGGGAGAGTCACATTTTCCTAGATAAGCATAATTTTCATAAATACTTCTGGAGTCTACAAAATGTGTGGTGCTGGCACATCATACTGAACAATGCAAATGATTTCAGCAGCATTGCCTAGTGATCTAGCAATGTTTTAGGTGGATGATTAAAGTGATATCAAAGCGTCATTTTTTAAAATAACAAACATGTCTATACTACTTACCTGCTGTGTGCAGTGGTTTTGCCCAGAGTAGCCCCGATCCTCTCTTTTTCGGGTCCCCGCTGACGCTCCTGGGTCCTCTCCCTCGAACAGTGCCCCCAGAGAAAGCCACTCGCGCTGGGGGGGAGCACTGCTTTGTGCTCGTCCCCAAGCTGCTGCTCTATGCATCCATAAGACACATAGAGCTGCTGCTGTCTAAGCCAATAAGGAGGAAAAGTCCCCAGACAGCAGAGGCTGTCAAGAACATCGCTGGATCGAAGGGGGCTCAGGTAAGGACTGGGGGGGGGGAGCGCGCTGGGGGGGGGCCGCTGCACACAGAAGGTTTTTTTTTTACCTTCATACGTTGAATGAATGAAGGTAAAAAACCTTGAACCTTTACAACAAGTTTGAAGACTAGTGTTTATGCCCATATTTAAGATGGGTGAAGTGTTTTGGTTTTTTGAAAGATGACATTGTTACCTAGCAGCAGTTACTTAAACCTGTCTGTACTGTCATTCATGTGACAGGATGATTGCTCTATGAAAGGATCATATCAGTGAATTAGATTGTTTTGATATGTGAACAAGTGTTTCATAGAAGACAGGCAGTTTGTCCTGATGGGAAAACAATCTAATGAATCACATTTATTTGCTGTGCCTAATACTTGTTATTTGAAATGACCAAATCAATGATCAATAATTTATTTATCATTACTTGTCTGATGTGTTTCTAACTGGTCTGAACTTTCTCTTTTCTCCAGAATAACGAAGCCTTTAACTTTTGCTGACTGTGTTGGAAATGAACTACCTTTAGGATGGGAAGTTGTTTATGATCCACAAATAGGTGTATACTATATGGACCATATTAACCGTAAGTGTCCACCGCATTTTTTGAATTCTTTTTTTTTTTAGTCTTAAGAATAACCACTTGCCGTCCTACCTGCCTTGTTATTGGCTCCTGTAGGTGTCAATCACCAGGTCCTAGCCAGTGATTCGTGGCTGGGAATCAGTGATCGGCGGAGCAGCTGACAGGAGAGAGATCTATGTAAATGTAAACAACACAGATCTCTCTCCTGTCAGCAGGGACATGCTGGTTTTTATCTCTTTGCAGAGCAGGGAGATAAAAACCAGCACTTCCCCTAGTATAACACTACACAGTGCACAGTTTAATCACTCCCTAACACATAGTTAACCCTTTGATCACCCAATATGTTAACCCCTTCCTGCCACGTATCATTAGTCCAGTGTCAGTGCTTCTTATTAGCACTAATCACTGTATTAGTGTCACTGTTAGTGGCAGTTAGTCAGTTCCCGCCCAGTGTCAGTTAGTGTCAGAATGCCCACCATACTATCACAGTCCCGCTATAAGTCGCTCATCGCTACCATTACTAGTTTAAAAAATATATAAAATAAAAATTCCAGTATATATACCTTCATTTGTAGATGCTATAAACTTTCATGCAAACCAATAAAATATACACATATTGGGCTTTTTTTTACCAAAGATGTAGCAGAATACATTTTGTCCAATAAATTAAGTTTTTTTTTATTTTTTTGATTTGATGTTTTATAGGAACATTTTTCTCTTTTACATTTTAGTTTTTTAATAACACCAAAAATAAAAAAACACTGATTATGAAATACCACCCAAAGAAAGCTCTGTTTGTGTGTAAAGGGGATATAAATTTCATTTGTGTACAGTGTTCCATGAGCACGCAATTGCCGTTTAAAATAGCGCCGCCTGGTCATGAACGCGGGTAAATCTTCCGGGGGGGGGGGAGGTGGTTAAGAAGGTTAAGGAAGACCTGTAATGCAGCAGTGGTAGTGTCCTCCATGTAATTAATGTACCTTTATGCACTTTGAACTGTAATAAAACCCTGTGACATCAGTTGGGTGGCCTGACCCTTGAAGAAATTAATTATAAAAGTCTAAGCCTTTGTATCTTAATGATGCTTAAAGCCTAAAAGAGAAGTGTGGACTTATTTTTTTCCCCAATTATACTTATCTAGGTGGATGCAGCCTTGGTCCAAAGCTGCATCTCTCCCCCACCGGCTCGAAGTGTGAGAACTCAGCGATCACATGACCTCTGATAACTGTCAATCACTGCTGTCTGCTCTGTCCCCCAGCACTCACTGGAGTGCTGGTCTGTGGAGGGGGAGGGAACAGCTGGCTCAGGCTTTCAGCGGCTTGCTGAGAGGCTGAGCCATGTGCCGCTCCAGACTTTGGGGTGGATCCCAACTATAAAGTCGGGATCTTTCCCCAGCCTGGACTGGCTGAGTGAAGTCAGCCGGCAACGGGCTTCAGCCCGCACTCAGCTGAAAATGGGTCACAGGAGTGCAGAACGAATTACATTCCTGTGATCCACAGAAGAAGAACAGCCAAAAGATCTTTGGCTGTACTTCTCCTTTAATATGTCCTGTTTGATCCATCAGTCTCAGACAAGATTAAACAATGTAAATTGATTCATCATTAATTACAGTTATCACTTATCTTGATGTTACTTGAGGTTGGGATGAAGAAATCCAGTCTGAGGATTGTATGCACTGGTCAGAGTTTATTACATGAGATAAAAGATTAGCAGGCCTAATTAAGATAAAAAATACTACAGTGTTGCGCATGCATTATGGCCATGTATACTGTTGTGTTTTAAGAAGAAATGCACACTTTGCATCTGGTGGCTGCATTAGTTTTTTTTAAGGCTTTCTTTCTTTATTTTCACATACTCACTTGGTTACCTGGTCAATAAGCCTACTGTTTTTCAGCAGAACACGCTGTCCTGCTGCTAGAGGGTTGAGACTAACCATTTAACGCTAACAGGGATGCTTATGATTGCCAGCTTTTATTGATTAATGTAAAACCTTTATCCCGAAAGGAACATAACTGTTTCTGTAACTGCTTATAAAGTGTTAGCTGGAGTTTGTCTTCAATTTGTTAGCGTAGCTGCAACTGCTAGTACATCTCTCCTCTCCGTCAAGATTAACAATGCTGCTGTTCCATCATCCAGAGTGTAGGCGCTCTAATAGAGGAAGTGTGTTAACCACTTGCCTGCTGGGCACTTATACCCCCTTATTTACCAGGCCAATTTTCAGCTTTCAGTGCTGTCGCACTTTGAATGACAATTGCGCGGTCATGCAAGATTGTACCCATATGAAATTTTTGTAATTTTTTTCTCACAAATAGAGCTTTTTTTTGGTGGTATTTAATCGGTGCTGGGCACTTTACTTTTTGTGCTATAAGCAAAAAAGTGCAAAAAATTTTGGAAAAAAAAAAAAAAGTTTCGTTGTTTCTATTATAAAATTTTTCAAACAGGTAATTTTTCTCCTTCACTGATGTGCGTTGATGGAGAGGAGAGCGCGTTCTGGGATGACGTCCACCCAGAACTGGCCGGCCGCAGTGCAGCCGTCATTCGGCTATCTGCTGTCGGCAAGTAGTTAATGACCAGGTGAAAACTAAGGGAAAAAAGCCTAAAAAAGAAAACAAATACAGACACCACATAATAATTGGTAATCTGCAATATGTTGAATATTTGGTTTTGGGTTTAAAGTGGTAGTAAAGGCTGAAGGTCTTTTACCTTCATGCATTCTATGCATGAAGGTAAAAAACCTGTGTGCTTCTCCCCCCACAACCTCCAATAAAACTTACCTGTGTCCCCTCTTGATCCAGATGTGTCTCTCTCCTTATTGGATGAGACAGCAACAGGAGCCATTGGCTCCCACTGCTGTCACTCACAGCCAGTGAGCCAATGAGGAGAGAGCAGGGGGTGGGGGCAAGCCTTGGTGCTATAACAAGCTGCTTGCTACTGGGGGCACTGGTCAAGGGGGAGGAGCCAGGAGCACCAGCAGGGGACCCGAGAAGAAGAGGATCGAGGCTGCTGTGTGCAAAGCCACTATACACAGCAGGTAAGTATGACATGATTTTTTTTTTGCTCAATGAAAACTGAACCTTTAACCACTTGCCCTCCAGAGGATTTACCCCCCTTCCTGACCAGGCCATTTTTTTGCGATGCAGCTCTGCGTTACTTTTACTGACAGTTACGCAGTCATGCAGTGTTGTACATAAATTAAATTTATGTTCTCTTTTTCCCACAAATAGAGCTTTCTTTCGATGGTATTTGATCACCTCTGCAGATTTTATTTTATGCGCTATAAACAAAAAAAGACCAACAATTTTGAAAAAAAAAAATCCAATATTTTTGACTTTTTGCTATAAAACATATCCAATAAAAAAATTTCAAAAATCAAATTTCGTCATACATTTAGGCCAAAATGTATTCTGCAACATGTCTTTGCTAAAAAAAAAGTCGCAATACGTGTAAATTAATTTTTTTTTTTTTTTTTTAAGTCCGCAAACGTGCAACTATAACGTAAAAACCCGTAAGTGTTCACAAAAAAAAGTGCAAGTGCAAAACACCACACGAAAAAGTGCACTTAGGGGTGTGCTGTGTCCTACCCCTAAAGGGGTTTTGGACCGCTTACCCTGATCCCCCGGGGCACGAAGCTCCTGACGGGACAAGGTTCCCACTTGGTCCTCCTGGCCAAAAGGCCTGGTGGACCACCGTTCCCTATGCCCAGCCAAAGCCGGACATTCAGTACTAGGCAAGGGGACTCTCCCGAAGAAGAGTCCTCTAGGGATCAGGGGAGGAAGGAACCGTATGGCCACACATCCTCCCCCTAGACTTCAGGGTAGGCCCGAGGACCCACACCCTCCATCCGTGAAAAACACACACATAAGGCAAAGAAAAAAGTGACAAACGTGGGAGTGCATAATAAATAAATAAAGTAAAGTAAATAAAATAAAAAAATGGTACCGTGCCGAAATGTGCACAGACCAGGCCCTGAGGCCCGTAGCAAAAATTGCCCTGGACTTAGCCAAAAGACCTGGTCCTTAGGGCGCTGTGCAAAAAGAGGTGAAAAACAGTGGCCATGTGTCATCTTCACACCGTGGGGTCCCACACCCAAGTGTTACTAGTGACACCCCTGAGAGCGTCTTCCCCAGGGGGCACTGAGTTTGCGGACTTTTTGCGTCCCCAGCCCCTGGCCAGACCAAGGTAGATCCGTCCAAATCAGGAGGTACTGGGTCTTTCCAGTCTTCCCAGAGGAATTACTCCCGGGGCCCCAGCTTAACTCGTGGCGCTCCCCGGTTTCTGTCCCTCCGGTACTAGCCTTCCGGACCCCCATCATACCAGTGAGGGTACTATACAACAACCATCATCCGCAAAGCTAGAATGGTCGGGAGCACCCCCACTGGACACTGATAAGAACAGATACTACACTTGATCTTAGCCAAAAGGCCGAGAAGCGATACGTGTAAATTAATTGGTTTACATGAAAGTTATAGCATCTACAAATGGCGGTATATATACTGGAAATTTATTTTTTTTCTAATACTAGTAATGGCAGCGATCAGCAACTTATAGTGAGACTGCAGGACTGTGGCAGGCATTCTGACACTGGGTGGGAATCCCCAGTGACACTAATATAGTGATCAGTGCTAATAAAAAGCACTAATACTGTACTAATGACACTGGGCAGGAAGGGTTTAACTGCTGGGTGATCAAAGGGTTAACTGTGTACTGTGTGTGTTTTACTAAGTGTGCTGTGTGCTATTTTACTATGGAGACATGCTGTTTAGTATTTCTCTGCTGTGAAGAGAAATGCAAAGCAGCATGTCCTTGCTGGCAAGTGAGAAACCTGTGTTGTTTACACACAGGTCTCTCCCCTGTCAGCTGTACTCAGCAATCGCCAAGTGCTAGCAGGGAATCTGTGCCTAGGACCCAGTGATTGGCATCCCTAGCCGCCAGTGGCAGTATGGGCAGGGTGGTGTGCGCATGCACACTGCCCTGCCCATACTGGAAATGCAAATGCATACTGG